AAATTATTGAAAACAAGGACTTATGTTGAACTGAGTTGAGGCGCTTCATTGAAACGAAAGTCGTGCTTTTCCGCCATCTTGCGTCATATTGCTGCCAAAAAGCCATGTTGAAATGTGTTGAGGAACTTCATTTGTACAAAGTAGTGCTTTGCTGCCATTTTGTGGCATTTTAGGCAATTCTAAACCTTTTTTAGGTGCGTGTCAATTTCTTGCAGATTCTTGCTCGTCACTACAGGTAACAAATGCTTTCCGACCTGATGGAGCTTGAAAGGTGACGCAAAGAGGAATGGGTGAAACTAACTAAGATTGTTGTGTCAACCTTGTCATTTCATTTTTTAAAAAACTGCCAAAGGCACATCAGTAAAGGAGAGTGGCACCTTGACTTACAACATTTTTCAAGTTAAGTTTAAAAGGGTTTTTTTTTGCTTTGTTTTGTGAGCCAACATTTGATGGACAAGCAAGCTTCTGTCACCTCGCCTCTCGCCTTAAATATAGAATTTAAAAAATTTTAATTTTGTGGGTAGAAACTTGAGAGAGAGCACAAATTGAATTTGAAAAGGCGAAAACATCAAAATGTGAAGCACTGTGAATATTTTTGGGATGATCATGAGGCATGTGTACTTTTTTTTTTCCAGATGGTCATGGACGTCCCGAGACGCTCGCTCTCCCCGGTGTTGAGCGCCGTGGTATGGACGCTGCTCTCCTGCGGCATCCTGCTGGCCTTCTGCTTCCTGCTCTTCACCCTTCGCTTCAAAAACAACAGGTGGTGAAACGCTAAGTTCAATCGCTCATTCTAACACTCATCATTAATAGAAAATTTACTTCTCTGGATTTGAAATGAATGGAACATTGACATATTGTCAGATACAAAAGTTAAGGCACTAAAATTTCTCAAAAATTGACTTTATTTTTGTGTGCACAAAATGTACTAAAAATGAGTAGAAACAGTTCTTCGCAAACACAATCTTGAACTCTTTATAACTCTTTGACAGTGTCAATCAAAACTGTACATTCTTTTCTTTTTTTCTACAAGGATAGTGAAGATGTCCAGTCCCAACCTAAATGTCCTGAGTCTCTTCGGAAGTGTCCTCACCTACAGCAGCGGCTTCCTGTTTGCCGTCGATCCACGACCGCACCCTCAAATGGAAGCGTCGACAGCTGTACTACACGTGGGTACAGTAGCTCTCACTTCAATGGAAGGCTAATCGGAAAATTATTCAAGATATTTGATATCTATCTTAAGTTCCTCTCTTTGTCATCACTGATAAGACGAATAAGAATTCAGTGCACCGGTAGAATTATTTTGTCGCACTTGTAATGGTTTTTTTTCATACTAGTGCCATACTTAGGCCTGCTAGTGTATATATGGACCTTAAAATGGATACCAATGATATCTAATAAATGCTCAAACAGATTAGGAATCTTTTTTTTGTCCTTCTTCGGTGAAGGCTGAAACAGTGGCTAGTTGCAGGGTAAATATTTATACTTTAGTTTTGTCATTTTCATCATATAATGCCTGTAGTTGTCTGTTGTCAAACTGAACATGTCCACTCTGTCAAAGTGAAATATCACTTGGTATAAAACCTGATATATTTGTTAAACAGTACACAATCAGCTTGCTAACCGAATCATGTTGCTAATTGAAGGTCCACCATGTGCTCGGTAAGCGCTAACATTAGCCACAAATGTCCACCCTGTCAGTAAGATCGCATCTTTTGCTCTTTGCACATATATTGTCTGATTGCAGTTAATTCAGAGAAAATAAAAATTGGGGAACTTGGCCCGTATGTATTTCTAACATGATACCCTTTACGTAGTACAATAAATGTGAAGTTGAGTGGAAAGTATCTGAATTTTGGGAGTGAAATGGGGAAGTCTCAAATGCACCTTATTGTGATATTGACTCCCAAACACTGAAACGGTTCACAATATTCAATAATTGCCATTTTATCATTGTTCTTTGGATGACTACCGTATTTTCCGCACTATAAGGCGCACCTAAAAGCATTCAATTTTCTCAAAAGCCAACAGCACGCCCTATATTCCGACGTGCTTTATATATGGATCAGTATTCTGATTTCTTAGATGTAGTATTTAAAATATTCTGTAAAGCGCTTTGTTACAGCTGCAGCGGTTGTGAAAGTTCTATATAAATGAAGCTGTGTTGTATTGTATTGTATTGTATTGTATTGTATTCCTTTAATGTAGCTCCATCTAGTGGATGCATAATGCAACCGCAGCCACTATTATAACTTCTATTCATTATATGCACCTTATACTGCGGTGCGCCCTGTATATGAAAACAGTTCAAAAATAGGCCATTCATTGAAGATGCACCTTATACTGTAAAGCGCGTTATAGTGTGTAAAATACAGTCCATGTTACCCTCCACAGGCCCGGGTGTGGACCCTCTGTCTCGGCAGCACGATGGTGTTTGGACCTATTTTAGGGAAAACATGGCGCCTGTACAGAGTGTTCACCCAGAGAGTGCCCGACAAGAGAGTGGTAGGTATGACCATGGAGCTGATCTTGTTATTCGAACCTACTAGTTGTTGTTTTTTTGTTTTTTTTAACGCAGCACAGTGTACTAAGTGTGAGCATATCTACGTCACAGTTCACCACCACCTGGGTCCTAATTCACTGGTACTCCTTTTACACTCCTACATGTCAGATCATCAGAGACATTCAGCTAATGGCCATGGTGGCTCTCTTGATCCTGGTGGACCTGCTGGTCCTGTCTGCCTGGAACCTCTCAGACCCCATTCGCTGTTCTAGATCACTCGGTGCAGTCGTTAAGGTGAGTCTAACACAGTCGGATTGATGAATATCAAAATTTCTCTAAAAGCCGACGGGCTAAATTTGTTACGTTTGTGTGTGGTTTCCCCTCACCAACAGTATGTTTTGCTCCGTTCTAGATGGTGGATCAGAACATCTCCTATTCTTTGTCTCAGATTAATTCCTGCTCTTCTGCTTACTGGGATCTGTGGGTTATAATCATAGTTGTTAAAAAGGTAGGTTATCTCCCCATTCTTGACAAATATAACCATTCGAGAGCTCATTGGAAATAACGTTTAGATTTGCTTTTCTTCCCATAAGTGCAATGGCGCAGTGTTATGGAAGGGCCACGCAGAAACTACAATAAAATAATGCTACTGTATTAAAATAAAGTTGGAGTATTATGGGAATAAATTTGTCATTTTATGAGAGTAAAGTTGGAAAAAAATTGTAGTTTTAAAGGGACAAATAATATTGTTGAATGAATGAAGTCTAATAGTCACAAGACTAAAATCATAACATTATGAGAAAATATTTTAACCCAAATAAAGTTACGGGAAGCAGTTGTAACCATTTCAAAAGTTGTTAATTTATGGGGTGAAGTCATAATTTCACGAGACGACGGTCCTTATTTTATGTATTGTCATTGATTTAATAATTTTAGGGAAATTAAACAGCAGTTTTACTGGATTATAGTGACAGCAACACAGTTTTTGACAAATAAATTATATGAAGAAAATATTTTTTAAAACTAATATTAAAAGGAAAGTTTTAATATGATGGTATTGTAAAAAAATCTTTTTTTATGAAATAAACTGTTTTAAATAAGTCATAATTTCACAAGAACAAGCCATCATTTAACAATAAAACCATAATTTATATTATCATAATTTCTGTCAAGATAGTAACATTTGTGTGAAAATGTCGACAGTCACTCATTAAAACTATATCTTCCCTTGTAATTTTCCCATTACAGTGTGACCCTAAGAGACTTTTCGAAATGTCCAAAACAATTTCTTCACCCTGTCCTTCTTCAGGGGTGTCTCCTGCTCTACGGCACATATCTGGCCGGCCTGACCAGCAACGTCAGCCACCCTCCGGTCAACCAGTCCCCCACCATCCTCACCGCCGTCTCCTTGGTTACCC